ATAGATTAGTGTAAATCTCGATCGTCATATTGGTCAGCGGCTTAGCTTAATTGCTTCTCAGCACAGTGGCAAATTATTATTTATCACGCGTTCTCGTAAGATCCAGTAAGCCTAATCGACGCACGGAACGAATGCGACAAGGTTATAAATTTCGATTTCGCTCGCAATTTCACTGCGATATTCTTTCCTCGCTACTGCCCGCGATCGGATTCACGATCCATTCGTGCTTAAATATTTTCGCGGCAAGAGCTGTGCATTAATATTGTTATTCCGCGTGCAACGACAATCGGCTGCCCGATCGTGATGTTGTGTCATTAAACCTCCGTTCGCCGAAGTCTAAATATTCGAAACGCCTTCCTTGTCAGCGGCGGCGACCGCAAATGCGGGATCATCGGGGCGATCGCGATGGCAGAGAATAGGAATCGGCTGAACCACGATGGCTAGATATTTCCGGAATTCGTATCGGATGATTGCCACAATTGTGGCCTCCGATGGCCGCAAACCTCGTTGGCTTCGATGTATCCAGGATACGGTGTACAAGGTACACGCGGTTTTGCATAAGTATTCGTGTCTTATTTAGCCGATCGCAAACGGTGAGCTCGCGGAGGGAAGGATAATCTAATGCAGCGTTCGAGATAATATAGAGACACGTTTGAGGAAGAATAGACCGTGGAATAGAAGCACTTATGTTCGCAAGATTTATTGCGGGTTAAGTTTTAAAGACCGATTCTGTCCGGTTTATGTATGGTGCCGCGATGGTCGGAGCGGGAAATATTGTCCATGAAAAATTTACAGCGCGCTATCGACCGTGCGCGCGCGATTTATTTCTTCGTTTATCGTCAAACTATTCCGTGATTCCATTCAAGGATAATTGTCGTTCTTGTGCATTGCCCTTTTGACAGAATTGATCTGAAGTTTAGGATGCGTACTCGACATTTTCGACATCGGTCGGCGGTTAATTTCTCACAGTTAGGCAGGTCTTAGCCAGTGATCGAGGAAAATTCACGTCCAACGCGATCGAGGATCTACGGGGGTGCAGCAGTCAGCCTATTACAGGCCTTTCCGAAACAGTGGCGTACGTGAGGAATGGATCGTACGTGTACAACCGCGTTCGCGGTCTACGAGGAACCGTCGTATCGATTGGCGCAGCCATGAAAAATCGAGTTTACGATAATAAACGCAGCTTACGGCGGCGATCGCGCCGCGATTTGCCATAACGAAACAGTGTAGGATCGATGCGCGAGAACTTTGAAGCGATATATAAAGTGTAAAAGGATACGAAGAAAATATGAGGGAGTGTGCGCGAGGGAAAGTGAAATATAATATACGTAAAGACGCGGAGCATAATGATTGTCTACTCTCCTTGCAACGCGACAACAGCCGTTGGACCCACTATATTTTATTACAGTATAATATTTGCTGTGATACTTGAATACGAGCGCCTTCCCCGGGTTTTTGTCATCGCCATACGCCGGTGAATTCTTTAAAGCCGGGCTTGCGAAGCTCGTCTGCGCGGCGTGTACATGAATTTTGAAGTAATTCCAGTCTTTACTCGGAGTTGTAATTCCTGTAGTAGATTTAATTAAGATAATGAGCTCGTCGTGTACCGTATAAAATCTCGTAAAGCAAAAGTCCTTATTAAAGAGTGCCGGTGGAATAGCTCTGTGTTCGATGTCGGGAATAATTGAGGTCTAGCCGTCGCGAAAATGGGCTCTCACAAAAGAGACATCTTAGTTTTCGCGAAATATGGTGGTGTCTTTAATTAATACGTCGCGCCTCCGCGAATTTTCACCTGAGAAATCCAATTTCATTAGTGAGCCGCGACATTTTCCTCTATCGCCGTCCTCGCGCTTTCGGTTGACAGCTGCATTTCGAGAACACATGATCGTTCGGATTTATCGACGGCGCTGATGGATAATAAGTTCGCTAATTAATGCCAAATGCAAGCACTACGAGTAATTACAAATTGATTTAGTTGCCAGGACAATATTTCAAATGTAATTCGAAATTAATTTCTATATGACTCGTGATTTAAATTTATAATCCTATTCAATCGGGTCTAGCCCCAGTGTTACCGCCCATTACCATTCTAATTTCGATCGCCCGTCGCATTAACACACATTTACCACCAGCATAATAAGAGCGTGGATGAAATTGCGAATTACGGCGCGAATTAAGAGTGTAATGTTCTTCGCAATAGAAAAAAGTACAACGTGCAAATGTGTTTCGATAACTTTGCAAAAGCAATCAATATATTGAACAAGGAAAATTACATTTAGACAAAAAAATTACCATTTATTTTTAGTAAAAATTCTGACTCTCGCATATTTTTAACTTTCAAAATTGGATCGTTGAGAGGAGAAGCATTCTCATGATGATATTCATGATAATAACGATTATCAGAACTCAGAGTTAGCTATCAAATTCGATCCCGCGTTACCTGACCAGCCGTCATTCCCTCATTAACATATAAATTAGACGCTGCGCGTCGAGCCCTTGCCCCCCTCCTCTTCCAATTTTCAAGCGCGACTACTTTTTTTTTTTTATCAAAACGCCGCAAAAACTATGATTAGACGGGGACGAGCGAAGAGATCGTTCCATTTGCAAAGCGGACTGCACGGCGGTATGAAAGGAAACGTTCCTTCGTCCCGAGTTATTTATTAACGTCGATATAAAGCGACACTTCCAATTATGTCCTATATTCGGGCAAATGTCACGATTGAGCCGCGTTAACGCGTGAGATAATCAGGCAATTGCCCTCGCAATCGATCTCCCAAAGTCACACTCGCCGCAGAGCGATTCTACGGGGGATCTAGTAGGCGATAAAGAAGCAAAGATAAAGCCACCCTCCTCTTACAAGCTCTGACAAAAATCGCGCGTCGGCGGAGAGCTGGAAAGGACCGTCGTCGTCCCGCACCGGTAGGATAGCTGCCTCTAGTACCGGCACCTAATCAAGCAATAACTATTTGTCAGTTCCCCGGGCAACCTAAATCCAAGCTAATTCGACATCCGTGTCGGACACAGATTCGCTATCGGGTATCTCTTTCTATCTGGACGACAGCATATTCGCATTAGCCTGCCCCGCAACCCACGCTCGATCGACTCTCTCGACCACCGTCAGCAGTCTCCCCCTCCTGCCCTCTCCTCAGCCTCCTACCCTTCACCCGCCACCATCATGATTCTCATTCACTCCGGACGTCCCTCGATCGGCCGCGCTGCATCTCTCTCTTCTCTCTCTCTCTCTCTATCTCCCCCTTTATCTTTCTCTCTCTCTCTCCTCTCTCTCTTTCTCTCTCACGACTAAGTACGCCATATACTCGCGCGCGCGTCACACCATAGGACGAGATCTCGACACGATTAGGGCGGTACTCAATTCGACGTTTCGTCGATTCGGTCCTTTCTTTCTCCTCCGCCTTTACGCCCCGAATCCGCAGCTCGAGTGAGTTTTTCCTCGATAAGCGTGGCAACCCTTCTTCCCGCTAGCGAGTGAGGATTTTCTGCGGACGAGCCGAACGGGCGGGAGGAAATGGCTTTCGATTCGGGGACGAGTTCACTTTGTTAATGTGACAAATCGAGACGCTGGCTCCGAGGGAGTGTCGACCTGCCGTTCGTTGCGAGGATCGTTGCGGGGGATCCACGGGATTTCCGAGGAGATCTGTCGCGTCGCGCGCACCGGTGAACCGTCGACAGCAACGCTGCTAGCGTGTTCATTTTTTTTTTTTGATGCTCCGCGGAAATATGGACAATAGATTAGATCGATGCTCAGTCGCCGTAAGAATGCTGAGAAATGTGAATGTTTGAAAAGCACGGTCTCGATCTCGGACACGATTAGGTAGCGTAGAGACCGTTGCCAAAGAAATTTACATTTATTCCGCGCTGACCGGCCATTACGCCGCGTGTAAGTCAAATATCGCGAACTGAAATGGACGTGGGGGAACGATCGCCAGTTCGGAGCCGGGAGGAAGTGCTTTGAAAGACGAGAAGATCGTCATCGTCATTAGTCATTCCTGCTCGAATGTGCGTAGAATAAGATCTCAGGAGAAACCATCTGTCACAATGCCGCGCGCGACGTCGCTATATGGACACTCGATAAATTATCCTGTATGAAGAGAGCTTCCGTTACTAGTAGTAGTATCCAGCAGTAATAATAATACTAATCATGGCGATAATAGGAAGGCTAATTCGTTATTTATGTAAGGATGTATTTGGCCTCAACTAACACACGTGACCAGATCGAAAGGTTATATTCGGTACTTAATTCTAAATTAGAAATTAAGTCTGAAAGAGTAATTTAGAAAAGCTCATATCGAAGGCACTTATAAATACACGACTAGCCGCGTTTGGTGAATATCCCGGGTGGGTTCAATTAAGCTCCTATTACACTTTTACACGGGCACGCATTAAAGCTCGCAGCTGGTCGCGAAGTCGGATATTATTTATCGGTTGACTTACGCCGAGCTCATTTGCCCGACAAAAGGGCCCGGAGAGATCGAGGGGAGAGGAAATAGTTCTCGTTGGCCGGGGCCCGATGAATCTTGTCGGCGATTGGGCGAGCACGCTCGCTCTGTCTCTCGAAACGGTCGGACACCGTCGGCACGACGAGAGATGATAGAATATCTTATTAGTCGGACAATGGGCAATCAGAGACGCCATACAGCCTCTCTGTTAGCGGTCCAGTCTCCCGGTCGTACGTCTGTCTGTCTGTCCTACATGCAGCCCGTGGGCATCCAAGGCCGCCGGGCCTCACCAGTCTCGGGCTGCTCGATTCGCGTCTTCCTCGCCTTCGCGGACAACGAGTCTCATGTACGGATTAAAGATTCAAGATAATAAGCAATTCCTTCGTACCCGAAACCAAACGATCACGAGCCGAATTCACGCTATATTTGTCGTGAATTCAAAAGCGACGGCAAAGGGAAACGACAACATCGAAAGATGACAGCTCTATTATATTATCTCTATTATTACAATTATTATTAACGGATAATAATGTGTTCACTCACCGACTGCGAACTATGATAGTAGAAGGTACCGATAGTAGAGAAGTGATATTCCGATTTATCCAGAATCCTGTACTCTCTTCTTTTTCACGGCACGCATCCGTGTCAACGAAGCCACTTGAATGCATGTGTTGAATTGAAAAGTTGTAGGAAAAAATCACTTGTTGACGTTCTTTTGTTTCAATCAATTACTCACTCAGCTAATTAACGTACGGATAATGTATCGTCACATGATGACAATCACTTCCGACACTCCCGGCACTTATTTACACGCGTAATACATTTGTATGATACGTAATATGCATACAACGATCTCGCACAACTTATTCAACACTTTTGTCGGCATTTTACTTTCGCGTCATATTAGAAAATTATCAGAAAACATTAGAATATTTGTTAAGATGGCGTCTTATAGTTTATGACACCTTTCAGTGCTGAATCTGGATAAGGGTTCCATCTCTTGGTACTTTTTCATAATTCACAAAAATAGAAAGTCTAGATAAGATCACTACGCGGCGCGCCACTCGCGAAACACTGTGATACGATATGTCGTCGCGACAACCACGTTGCGACGTTACGATGTACAGGTTATATCACGATAAAACACGATCGATCGTACTAATCGATTACTTCGCACGTAAATACTGCTTCGCACGAATTGACTTTTTACATTAATCCATATTTATACTGACGATAAATAGTATCAAATCTAGCTCAAAACCGACGCACAAACGCGAGATGCTACTGCCGCGAGCAATGTTCCATGGAAAAGAGCGCGAAGAAGGATTGATAGAGTTTATTAACATATGCAACGAAATTCGTATTTACTGTTCGCGACCAATCAGATACCGATACGCGACAAACAGAAGATGACTAAATGCAATGTCATTGTCATGAGCGACGCGATGCGACGTTATAATGCACACATTATGCATATCACGATAAAATACGATCGATCGTACTAATTGATTACTTCGCACGTAAATATTGCTTCGTGCGAATTGATTTCTCACACTAATCCATACGTATACTGACCTTGGACGAATAAATCATACGAAATCTAGCTCGAACCGACACACGGACGTGAGATTCTACCGTCAGCCATAAGAGCTCTGTGGAAAAGAGCGCGAAAAAGAATTGATAGACCTGGATTCACACTAGATCCTTTTTTCGACGTACAATGTACGATATCCAATAGGAGAGTTTGTTTTATATAAAATCGGAAATCAGACCCAATGTGAATCTAGCATTTCTTATTGGATATCGAACATCGTACGTCAGAAATCGGACCCAGTAAGAATCCAGCAAGAGCTACCAACATATGCAACAAAAATTGTATTTACTGCACGCGAATCAGATTCCGGTATGTGAATTAATAGCGAGTGTTTATATAAATGATTGTCATTGTAATCCTCGTTGTAAAACATTAAGAAATTATTATACATTAACGTATAATATCACGGACTAAGGAATAGAGGGACCGAGTTTAAAGTCCTAATTTAGGCGAGAGGGGATGGTAATTCAAGCGTGCGGGGGGGACTGCTTTCCGCCATATTGATGTAGCGATTCTCACACAGAGATTCTGTGTCTGTGACATGGTTACACTCGTGTGTGGTGCCTAACTAGACATAACGAGTGACAAGCGTAAAGAGATTAGGCGGTTTTATTATTGTTGTACTATAAATTTTATAAAATACTTTAACTTTTATTACTCTGAGGCTCTGCATACAGTAGACAAAATATTAGAAATAGCAATAAATATTTAATATTAAAAAGAGAAATTATTTACATCTAACAAGAGAATAAAATATATTAATTAGTTCCTAATTCTTATTTCTTAATTCATGCATTAATTTTTCTATTCTTTTATTTTTAAAATAAATAATTCCAATTTCTTATTTCTAATATTTAATAATTATTCCTATTTCTATTTCCTATTTTGTTTATTGTGCGCAGGATCTATCTTTCATTTCTCACACATACGCAAATAGTGAGTTCTATCGTGTGGTGATTACTAAACGAATATAGCGCCCCCCCCCCCCCCCCGCCGCAAACGTGCTCCACCGGTACAGCTTGTGCTCCATCCCTCTATTCCTTAGTCCGTGTATAATATAGACTGCGCGTTACCTACCTCTACCCTATTAAGAAAATGTCTTCACTTTTGAAAGAGACAGTTCAGGTTGAACAATGGTCTCATCTTTGTCTAGTGAAGTAGTGAGGGAAAAAGTCTTCATTGATTGATAGATACTGACTGACAGAGAGAGAGAGAGACAGAGAGAGAGAGAAGAAAAAGAGAGCCACTGTCAGAATATGTTGCCTCTTCTAAAGTGAAGACTAACTTTTAGTCAAACGCGCAGTCTATTTATTATTTGTCTATGTATTTTCTCATGACATTCTTAATCTAAGAATCATAGCATCTTCCATTTGTCACGTATCGACATCTGATTGGTCGCGACAGTAAATACAAATTTGCTTTCATATGTTGGTAGACCCTACCAATCCTTCTTCGCGCTCTTTTCCATAGAACGCTGCTCGCGGCAACAGCATCTTGCATTTGTGTGTCGGTTTTGAGCTGGTTTTAATGCCATTTATTGTCAAAGGTCAATAAATATGGATTAATGTAAGAAGTCAATTCGCGTGAAGCAGTATTTACGTGCGAAGTAATCAATTAGTATGATCGATCGTGTTTTATCGTGATATCTATAACCTGTGCGCATCGCGTTGCTCATGAGAAAATGGCGTTGTATTTAGTCATCTTCCATTTGTCACGTATCGACATCTGATTGGTCACGACAGTAAATACAAATTTGCTTTCATATGTTGGTAGACCCTATTAATCCTTCGCGCTCTTTTCCATAGAACGCTGCTCACGGCAACAGCATCTTGCATCTGTATGTCGGTTTTGAGCTGGTTTTAATGCCATTTATTGTCAAAGGTCAGTATAAATATAGATTAATGTAAGAAATCAATTCGCGTGAAGCAGTATTTACGTGCGAAGTAATCAATTAGTATGATATATCGCGTTTTATCGTGATATCTATAATTTGTGTGCATTGGCGTCGCTCATGAGAAAATGGCGTTGCATTTAGTCATCTGTCCATAGACATAGGAATAAGGAGACGGAGTGTAAGCCGCGGGGGGTGAAGCCGCTTTCGGGGAGCGGGGACTACGGTCACATGGTACTTTGGTGCCGCATTTATGCTACAACTAATGCCAATGTGGCACCAAAATATCACGTGACTGCTACTCCCCGCATCGCGGAACTGGCTTCACTCCCCTCGCCTAAAGTAAGATTTTATGCTCTGTCTCCTTATTCCTATGTCTATGCATCTTTCATTTGTCGCGTATCGACATCTGATTGGTCGCGACAGGAAATTTAAATTTGCTTTCATATGTTGGCAGACCCTATCAATCTTCTTCGCGCTCTTTTCCATGGAACGCTGCTCGCGGCAACAGCATCTTGCATCTGTGTCAGATTTGAGCTCGATTTAATGCCATTTATTGTCAAAGGTCAATATAAATATGGATTAATGTAAGAAATCAATTCGCGTGAAGCAGTATTTACGTGCGAAGTAATCAATTGGTCGATCGCGTTTTATCGTGATATGTAGAACTTGTGCTCCATAGCGTCGCATTGCGTCGCTCATGACAATGACGTTGCATTTAGTTATTTTCCGTTTGTCACGTATCGACATCTGATTAGTTGCGAACAATAAATAAGAATTTCATTGCAAACGTTGGCTCTATCAATTCTTTTTCGGACTCTTCCACAGAATATTGTTCGCTTGTCGTAGCATGTTACGTTTATGTGTTGGTTTCGAGTTGGATTTTGTATAATTTGTCGTAGAGAACTGGTATGCGTATGGGACAGAGTAAGAAATCAAATCGCGCGAAACAGTATTTACGTGCAAAGCAGTTCATTAGCACGATCTATCGTGATTTATCATGATATGCGTAATTTGCTTCATCGCGTCAGTCAACGATAAATCGCGTCGCATCGAGTCGATCGTGAGGACAAATTAATTCGCTGTGCTTATATCTCGCATTGCCTCACACTATAATGTATTGGCTAAGATATGCGATTGTATTTTACCATTATATTTTCAGTATAATGTGAGGAGAAATGAATATAGGCCTTTTGCTCAGAAGGCAGAACTCAGTGGAACAGTAGCAGAACAGATGCACTCATCTTTGGTGAGTAATATTATTAAAAATTTTGATATCTTGACTGTTATTCGAAAAAGATTTAGTTGAACAGATGCGATAGCAAATATAGAGTTAATTCCTATACAATTATATTTGATATCATTTATATTATTCTGTACTATTTTCAGCGACATGAAAAAAATGGATACTTTTCAATGGATCTTCTCTTCAAAAGCAGAGCCTGTACTCAACACCGGTGAGCAATACTAAAATTTTAACATCTTGATTGTTATTCGAGAAATATTCGGTCGGACAGATGCGGCGGCAGATAAAAGGGGGTTAGCTCCGGTACGATTATCTCTAACGCGGCGCATAAAACCGAGATAAAGTCGAAGTGCGTTTACGGTAGTAGTACTGTTCGCCGAAGTTAAGGACGAGCTAACCCTAAACTCGAAGTTTAGGAACAAGCGCCTCAGGCGATCCTGGCAAATAGCGTGCAATCTGATTTCGCGCGATTAGAAGTAGAAAAAAAACACTGTAACTCACTGGAAAAGTCAGAAATCCTCTTCGACGTTTAATCGTGATATTCGTGCGCGTTTAAAGAACCAGAGTTCATATCTAGCTATCTCTTTTCGATTTAGCATGGTGTTAATCAGGATGCGGGAGATCGATTCTAACTTGATCATGAATGGATTTTTCTGTCTCTTTCGGTCGCGACGGCAAATTGCGTCGCATTGAATCAGCCGTGAGAATAAATTATTCAATTCATTTTACTTATATTTCGCATTGCCTAACGCTATAATTCATAAGTTATTGCCTAACGCTACAATGTATTGATTAATATACGTTTATTTGCTTGAGATATATTCGGGTAGTAACTGCCATTTTTACAAGTCATTAATTTTCTTTATTTTCAACAACGAACTGTTGTCGCGTATAACCAACCAAGGTACGCGCTGCATAGCGATCCTGAATAGATTTTTTATTTATTAGGAAAATATACAATAAGCAGCACCGAGGATGTATATTTACCATCTTGTCCTCTAATGAAAATTACATTATGCCTTCTTAGCAGGAATTGTTTCTTTCTTTTCTGGTCATAAGTGCGTCGCGAATATGACCAGACGGGAGTGCCGAGTAAACAGTCGCGTGCGACCGTTAGATTTTGTTTTATTTTCTTTCTTTTCTGGTCATAAGTGCGTCGCGAATGTGACTAGACGGGAGTGCCGAGTGAGTAGTCGTGCGTATGATCGTTAGATTTTGTTTTATTTTAAATATCAAAAGTACATCGTGCGAGTAAATAAGTGCCGGAAGTACAAAGTAACGCGAATGTCTAAATTAGTGAATTCGTATTAGTGAGGCTCCAGTAAAGGAGCATCGAAACTGCAGCTACAGTGAATGGTGAGTAAATTTTTATTATGCTTGCATTATTTTTTCAATCACAATTTATGTGGCAAAATTGCCTTTGGAATTTTGTTTCGAAGCTTTTAATAACGATTCAAAGAAAGAGAGAAAGAGAAAAATTAAATTAAAAGTATAATAATATAATAGTTTAGACGAGTACAATTTATAATGGTAGCAAAATGTATGCTAGTTGTATTATCATTTATTGCGACGTATTACTTATTTAAGAAAATTCTGTATTATATCATTACTTTTCTATTATTGTATTTTCAGTGTAACGTGAAGGGAAATGGATGTACTTTCGCTCAGGAGCAGAACTTGCACTCATCTTCGGTGAGTAATATTATTAAAAATTTTAACATTTCGATTGTTATTCGAGAAAGATTCGATCGAACAGATACAGCGGCAAATAAAAGAGGGTTCGGTACGATTATCTCTAACACGGCTACTTTTTACTGGAAAAGTCAGAAATCCTCTTCGACATTTGATCGTGATATTCGTGCGCGATAAAGGAACCAGAGTCCACGCCTAGTTCTCTTTTTCCGATTTGGCGTGGTGTTAATCAGGATGCGAGGGATCGGTTCTAACTTGATCTCGGTGTGTCTTTTTCGAGCGCGGCGATAACGCGGCGAATAGTGGTCCGATCATCGCGATCGATGGGAGCTCCGATCGAGCGATCTACTCGCGCTCGCGTTGAGGAATCCCTCCAAGTTCAGAGGGCAGCATCCTTGCTGCGCGTTAACTCTCCCCTGCTGCGTACAGACATGCCACGGTACGCTAGTTGACGAATGGATTCGGCGTGCCCGGCGTTCACGGAACGATCGTCATCCTCATACTTGATCTATCGAATGCGAAAATGTAAAGAAACTTTTTTTTTTTATTAGAAAATACCACGCTGTATCTCTGAAATATTTAATCGTAATTTAAAAAAAATCCATGAACAAAATGTTTGATAGGTTTTTTTCCGAACGACGTTTTTATTTTCATAATGTTATACTGAATTTCGATTAATGATACAGTTGGAAGATCTATTGAAATGGTGCTTCAACTTCTATATCACATTGTAATAACGGGAAATAATTGCCGCGAGGTTTAATGACCGGCGCGATTTTGGGAGCGGTGTATACAGCTGTGTCATCATTAAAATTATAAGTAGGATTATTATCTTTCAGCTTATTGGATCAATTAGGCTAATGCACAGTTTTACGAATCGGCCGCCGTCGTGGCGCGGCTGCATAAACTAGCGGTTAAAGATTTCTCTCGAATTTACGATTGTGTGCGCGTTTCGACGAAGCTGATCGGCACGAATGACGCGGCTCGCGCACTTGCGAAAATTGTTTCGCAACTATAAATCTATAATAGGATGTAATCCGCAGCGCGCGAACAACAATCAGCCTCGCGTGATATGACGCAGTATATAAAAATGTGCGCCCGCGCGATCAAGATTAAGCGAACGGTACGCTTCTTATAAACTTTAATCGAATTAATAAATCATTTCGGTTCTCCAGCCAATTTGCCGTCTGATATTTTTATTTCACACGATTCCCCATCGTCAAATGAAACGCGATTAAAATTTATTAAATTTATTTTTTTTTTTGAGTTTCAAGCTTTTCGATTTTTTTTTTACGAATTTTGTTTCGTGTCGCGCTGCAAATAAATGTCGAGATTTTATTAATACAATAAAATTGCGCGTATTATTGATATTGCGCTTAGACGAAATATTTTTAACATAAATAAACATAATTAAATAAACATTGAACGAATAATTTGGAATTTTGCGAATGAATTCTTTGAGATCTCGCCGCATAATCCTAAGATTTTCAGTTTTCCCGTTGTCCTTACGAGTGCAGTTCTGCTTTCATGACTATATCGAGCCTCCCCGTTCCTCTACCGCTATAGGGCCGCCACGCCAGCCCCATTCATTAACGTAACACGATTTATCAATTAGCGTAAAAGGCAGCGATAGATAGTCATTCTGATATGTTGCCCCATTCCACCATTACTACCTTTCTCTTCTCTCGCAGAACTATTTCCTTCATTTTTTTCTCACGTAACTTTCTTATCACTTTTTTCAGAAATTTCTTACGTAATTTCTCTCTTTATTTCTATTATTATTCTACTTATATTTTTTATGAGTTTTTATTTTTTCTCAGGATATTTACTTTATCATACTTCATTAGGTTTGGACTTATTATTATTAAGCTATGATATGCGAAGGAAATTGAGATGTCGTGGTGCGATGATTATAACGGATGTTCACACAATTTCCGTTGATAATTCTATGTTTGAATTATTCGAGCCAGTCTCACGTGACCTCGGTTTGAGTTACAGTTGTTTTAAGTACCTCTCGGGGATGTTGATGGGAAGGGACGGTTGTTATTATATCATTTGGTGTAGCTGCGTAATAGCGCATAGTCACATAATAACATAATTAATCTTAGCGTTCGTATCATCAATTCAATATAATTTCAACGGAGATTAACAGTTAGGTCAAATTATAGATACCAAAAACTCTTGCAGAATTGAAGACTAAGGTCATTTTGATAAAATTAGTGGCGTAAGAGAACAAAATAACGCTAGATCGTTAAATCGACGAAGAAGGTCCTTGTGTAGGTGAAGAGAGCTCGAAAGATAGCGGAAAGTTGGTGAAACCGTTTAGTAGTTTATCGAATTAAGCCAATTAGTGGTACAACCATTCTCTTGCTGCGCGGCACTTAACCCACAATCCTCGCAAACATACTGAAGCTTTTCTTTTACTAGATAATTCATCATTCTGAAGAATTGCTCTCCCGTGTGTTTGCTTCGGTGACAATAGAATAAATCAATTATTTCATAAATGAGTTTTAACCATGCAATGGCACATCAGAATCAATAAAGTTTTAAGATATATTTTTAAACTTATTTATAAAATAGGTTATGATATGTCAACTAATACTTTTCTTGTATTTTTAAGTATATTTTCAGTAAAATAAAGTATTTAAATATTTTTTCTGTACGCAATTCTCGTCTAGAAATCTTAAAGAATACACTGTAATTATTTCAAATTTTTTTTAACATTTTAATAGACTCAAAGTGGGATTGAATACGAATGATTTCAATGTGCCGAATTCGTCGAAGAAGGATGTGCTAGGAGAGTTTCTATCAATTTCCAAATACGTAAAGCCACCCAAAATAGTTCAGTGTAGGTCAAGGCAATCTGAAATCAATCGGTGTACATCAGCATAGGTCAGCGATGTTCGAAATCGGCCAAACTGATGGAAATAAAATCGATCAAAATAGACTAGATATTTTAGTGTCTTCTATTTAATTTTAAAATATTTTAGCGTTTATTCTAATTGACTACAGCTCGTGGCATGCTGTAATTTCCTTTTCCTTCTTTAACTACTTTTATGTTATATTTAATTATTCTCTCTTTTACATGTTTTCTCTTTAAATATCTTTTATCTTTCACTAAATTTTTGTATGTTTTTTTTTTGCATGAAAAATTTCTATATTTTATATGCACTTTACGTGAATTATATTATGTGCACCTGTAATATTAAATTTTGATGTTGGCCTGGTTCGGGTAAATCATTCTTCTTTGTCTCTTTCCTCTCTTTTTCTCTCTCAATGCATCCACTTCCCCGGCCACTTCCGGCGGATGATCGCAAGCCGCAAAGAATGCAGCCTGAGAATCTTGTTTATGGTCCCAAACCGCCGGTGCGCAGCGAGGCACGAAACTGTTATTGAAAAAGAAATTAATTCTTCACCAATCTCGTCCTGCGCCGTACTTCCGTTCAATCTCAATCGGAGGAAGTCGCGGGCGTATCCGCGCGAAGTGCTTTTGTGATAAGCGAGTTTTGCATCTGTTTTGCTCAAATTAAATCGACATAAATATGTACTATTTTTGTTTCTATCTATATTTCGGATATATTTATTTTTACACACGTTTATCTAGGCAAAGCGTGCATAGGAATATAAATGTTTGAAAAAAAGCGAGGCGAAAAACGGCGCGTGCGATACGGAAGTCGATTCAACGACCAAAAGTTTTCCTTTCCGGTGCAGAATAGTAGCCATCGGAATGTCGTTTTACCGGTACACGCTGTCGCATCGCGAGGCTTCGAAATCCCCAGGATAAAGTTAGGGCTCAAGCCGGGCAAATGCGAGTTTGAAATGTTGCCGCCGGACGTGCGCGGGCCGGATCCGCCTTCAGCATAATACTCCGCTTGGCCGAGTAACTTTATGCGAATTTCGGGAAAAATTAAAAGAGAATTTCCGCCGTTAGGCAGAGAGGACAGCCGCGACGTACGTGCGGGAAATGCCGAGCGGAGGAAGCCGACTCTCTGCCAGAGCGCGCGTATTGTCGCTTACGTTCCGTCGCGATCCGACCGCTGCGCGGTACGCGTCGGTTTTCCACGAGCCGTGGAGACATTCAAATTCGTAATTGACGTACGATCGACGATCTTAGTCGTTTCAATTAACTCGAATCGTGCAGCCCGCGTTGCATTCGCGGTGCATATCCACGCGAGCGATTCGCATTCTGCAGGAATGCGAATAGCAGGGGCGTGTCGACGATTTGCGAGAAGGATCGAAAGAACAGCGAGAGAAAGAGACAGACGAGAATGATCGCGAAGCGAGAGAGGCTCGCTGAGGGGTAGGGGAATGCAGGGGGGAGATTCTCTTCCTGGGCCGGTACTTATAGTGCCTGGTAATGAAGGTGTTATTAAATAGATTGAGATTAATTGCGTGATTAGTGCTTTATGTGTAATTGGATAGCGAGCTGAGCGGAATCGCCGAGGAGGAATTAAATTGGTGTTCGTGTACGTGTTTATATCCTGAATCTCTTCTTCTTCTCCTGCCTTCTTTGTCCTTTTTCTTCTTGGTCTTATCCTTATGGCGTGCCGCGACCCTCGGAACACGGTCCTCCGTATCTTTCTTCTGCATTATATATTTTGATCGAGATAATCGGGTCGGACAATTTTTTATTAATTTTCTTAACGTGTAAGTGCAAATATATTTGTTCGCGTGTACAAAGTTAAAATTAAATTTGTATTAAAAAAAGCGCCGTTCTCAAAGGATTAACCGCGAAGATCGTTATTTCGGAACCGATGTCTCTAAAAAGAAAACGCATGGGGCAGGTCGCGAGACAAGATCGGAAGAAAAAAGGGCCATAGATGGCCTTCATGAGGAAGGTAGAGGCGCGGTGGGAGGGTTTCTTCTTGGCCCTATTAAAAAGCCCGTTTCCTCCTCCGTTTCTAAAAGCCTCTTATGGCACTCGAGGCAACTGCGAAAGCACTTGAAAGCTCCTGAAAAGCCCGACAACACTTCCCTGGTTGAGTGCCGCGTCCCGCTAG